TCCTGTCGCTGGGTTTCAACATTTCAAGCAGTGCGTCTCAGTAATGATGAGTCGGGTCGCCGTTGTGCTTTCACTTTGGGGCTACTCAAAGCCCGGCCCATGTTCGAGCCGTGTTTTATGTAAGGGAAGAAGAAAGCTCGGGCTGAGAGCGCGGCGCTGGGAAGCCAAAGTAACAAAACCGAAAACCCGCAAAGACATTTGTCCGGCTCAAATCCGAGATCTTCTCACTGCGAGGCGACGCTAGCGGAGCGATCCTGTGTGACCAAAAGCAGAACCGCACCAAGTAATACCAACATTAATCAGCGTCCCTTTTATTACCCCAGGTCTAAAAACAAAAACAGGAAGAATTTACTGCTTTTCTTTGTCTTCCATTGTCGTAAAAAAGAAGATGCGAGGTTTTTGTGTTGTTGCCCGACCAATCTCTCATTGAGCCTAATACAAAAGGCCATTACTTGCTGTGCTAATGGACACTACAGAGCGATTTAAGGAGCTGTCGAATCCCTGCGCTGGAGTTTTCATAAGGACCGTTATCTATCATAATCTGAACTCAATTTGACAGGTTTTAAATTCACATTTTTATACCAAACAAAAACTAATTGTCTATAGATGAAGTAAATTGAAAGAGCCGGATAGATTATGTATAAACGCCATAAACTCATATGGCCCCTGCACGAATAGTGACAAATGTGGCGCAAGTGCCATTTCAAACAACAAATCGCCAAACGCTTTTTTCATATTCAGCCGTAAAACAGAAGTTCAGATGGCAAACGTGATGATTATTGGCTTAAACAAACAGCCTGGAGTGCAGTTGTATTTATCGGGGTAAATAACTTGCAGGAAAGGCAGCTTTATATGGAATTAATTGCAAACAAGCTGCCCGCTAATGGCTTGAAAAGGCCTTAATGGAAGTGTTCCATTAAAACAACCAGTGCTGATGCCATCAGACAAATTTCCACTAAGTGTTGCCTCATGAAAATGATAACTTGCTAATCCATTATTAATAAGAATTAATGGTTTTCTCTCTGCTGTGTGCCTATCGATCCCTGATACTCTACCCTACAGAGTAGCTCTCATTGGGCACTCTGGCAAGCTTGGGAATAGACTAATTGTTAGCCACACAAGAGCCATTTACGTGACGCTCCCAGTTGTCGCCGCATCTATTACAAAGCTCGCACTGAGGCTTTCAGTGAGCAAGAAGGGGAAAACTTTTCAACGGAAAACTTTGGGTGTGGCATTATAATGTTGACTTTTGAAAACCAATTGCCATTTTTTAAAATCTACCTAAGGTTGACTTCTCCTGTTGTCAGTATTTTTCACAGTTAAGACCAAGTGGTTGTCTTTTCTCCTTGCTTTTAAGAGAAAAAAAAAATCAAAAGTCAGGGCGACCCACCCTATTTCAAAGAGATCTATATCTACTATAAAATAACACATCTGTGGTACTTCTGTAGCACAGGACCCCCCGCCCCCCCTCCCCCCAACATGCCTTTCATCTAACTAATGACCTAAGATACCACGAATACTGCTGCAGGCATGAGGTTAACTGACAGAATCTGTTTAATCCCCCACACAGAGCTGCCGGTAGCCTTTAGACTCCTCCAGTGCTTTCTAAAACCACGATCTATGGAGATTTGTCGATAGCCTGCACTCAGGGTCACATTTAAATTTCACATCAACAGGGCACAAATGTGCATCTTTAATGTGTGTTCCAGTAAAGTCACCACAGTGCAGCAGACTAAATGCTAAGAACTACTTCTAATAATTGCCATTAGAACAAGCTTGCACTTTAATTTAAGCTTTTGGTCATAAGGCATGAAAAGGGTTTAAATTAATTTCCCTAATAACCCTACGATGAGGTTTACATCTATTATTACTCACAGCAGCCTGCAAAAAACACTTGTTAGACTGAGAAACAAGAGCAGGAAAATTGATTATTTTTCACTGACTTTATTTTTTAAGCGATTAATTCATGTTTTCCTGTCATTAGTTGAAACACGAAAACCTTTTTGTTCTCGATAAAGAAAATGTATTTCTCTCCAACCCCTGCCACGACGTTTGCCCCTTTGTGACACGTACTTCTTCCATTTTGTCATTAAAAGCAGTATTTTGTTGTTGTGATTTGGCAATCCAGACCTGTTTGCTGCAGTGTTTTTTTTCTAGGTTATTTCTTCAGTTGTTGCAATGTGGGGAAAATGTCTCAAATATTGGAGCCTTTAAACCCCTTCACACAAAAGTGCAGCATGCCGGACACTTATGGCTCCTCATTCAGTGCATCGCTAGAGAATAAAGCATATGTTGAAGCGTTGTCAGGGTAGGAGTTGGGATACATCGCTGCATAAAGAGAGCGCCGCAGTCCTGACTTAGAGAAGGATTTGCATGGTTAGGCTTCTGTGTTTTCCACCTCTTCCCTTCCATTGTTTTCATCTGACAACTGCCTGACAACCAGGAAAATGGGACGCAGGGAAAAAGAAAGGTAGAGTCTGGATTTCGTCTATCTGAGAAACCGACAGAAAACCGACAAACCCAGCAGTTTGAGATCCTCACTCACCTGCGGTGGCAGAGCGATGGTAGAGGGTAAACTCAAAATCCACTCTTCTGGACTTTTGGAGTCATCATTTGCATCCGGTTTGTCAGTGGTTTAAGGGCAGGATGGGGATTCTTGAGATTTTGTGACCGACTGCGAGGTGAAATCTGGATTAGCACCAAATTTGGCCACGGCTGGCCTTTGGAGTCTGAAACTCTGAAACTGTTCTTTGGCAGGATTATTATGGGATCAAATCAAGTGAGGCCAGTTTACCCAGGTCTTATGTTTATCCCTGAAATTCTCTTAATTTCTAAGATCCAGTGACTCCTGACTCAAACACAAGATTAATTTCAAACACAAGCAGTGGACAGTTCAAATAAGTAGCAAAGCGAGAGGACATCACAGCAATTTCGATTCAGCTACTGTGGCCAGATGTTAGCAGCAACTCCTGAAAGTCAGATTGGTGATAATAACATCTTAAGGATTCCAGTTTGCCAGCCGTGCACGTAGCGCTGCATGCTCAGGCATACATTCTTTATGCTTATCAGGTTGGAATCATGCATGCAGCTCTCCTGCTGCCACTCGCATGCGTGTCAGTCACATTCTGCTCCTATAGAAAGGGATTTATGGCTCTGCTGCAGTTGAGATTTTATCACTGGAAGAATCTGGGGTGAGAATTAAGTTAAAATTACAGGCACCCGTCTCCTGACACATACCTTTATGCTTCGGTACATTTTCTTCATAGTTAATCAGTCGTGATCATCTCTAATTAACTCCTTTGTCTTCAATCTGTTATTTAACACTTGCTAAGTCTTTCTAAACATTTTTTTTACAAAAATCCGGTTTCAAATCGGTAGCTTTTTATGATCTAAAAATATTTTTTCAATCAAAAGCAGGGCATCTCACATATAATAATTAAGTATGACTTCCTTGCTGTTAATTTTATTGCTGTCATTAATCGCTGGTGGCACACAGATGCTAGATTTGGCAATTCATTCATCATAAAACAACTTAAAGATGGCTGAATTGCACATGGAGACTGCACTCTGATGCATTTTGTAGACGGCTTATGTATACACATGGACATGAGTAAGGAAAGAGAGCCTTTTCGCAAAATGACACCCAAAAATTTAGATTCTCACACAAGAATCTTGCCTTTTGTGTAAAGCCGTCTTTTTTTCTTGTTTTTTAGACTTATTGTAAATCGTATCATACTTGAGCACCACCTATTTCTAACATTTAAAATTGTATGTGTATATGTGTAGACGTTTGTCCATTGGTTGTACTAAAAGATGACTTCCAGTGGGTTACAGTTTTCTACTGTGGTGGTCTTCAGCCAGTTGAATTTAAATGTGTGTATCCTTATCCCATGGACATATTCTGTATTCATGCGCATCTCAGTGCCTGCAGGCTTGCACACCTCTTTTATTGTATATCCCCCATTCCCACCTAAGAAAAAAACCACCGAGAGCTCCCCTTTAGCCAAGAAGAGACAGAGAAGGATGATGTGATCGGTGGACCTGGGGAATGTGTTTGCTTAAGGCTCCATCTGAATTTGAATGTGGTGCAGCGTTATGTTAACTAGATATTGACCCCACGTCCCACCTTCGTCCACCGGTGTTATAGTTGCACATTTAAAAAAAGAGGGGAAGAAGAGTGGAAGCCATTGATGGATTTCCCCCCCCGCGTATTCTCAATGATGGAAGGTCGGCAGCTCCTCTGTGTACACAGCAATGATTTACCTCTTTGCGCTTGTCTCCATGGGGCAGTCTGCTTGTCTGTTGCCGAGGTGTTTCCCACCTCCCTCTTTAATGACTCTGCCGATGAAACATGAGCCGGCGGAGTTGGTAATAAGGGCATTGTCTCATGTTTCTGAAGCCTGGACTGTGCGCGCCGGAGGCCCTGTGTGATGCCTGAAGACCAGAGGCCACGGTGGGAAGCTACAGTGGTTCATTGTAGCATCCTGTCAGCCTCGACAGGCTGTCAATGAAACACATAACTCCTTTATCCCGTGGACAATGATGCCGGGTGTGGCGCCCAGTCGTACCCCGAGGGCGAGCAGAAGAAATCACAGCTGGGGCGCTCCGGGGGCGCCCATCGCGTAGTTGTAAACAAACACTGTTCGGTCCGAAAGATGGACAGGATCTCATCGCAGTGGGCTGCCTCAAAGGGGGAGATTCCAACAGAATCATAGGGGACAAAAAAAAAGGTGGAAGAATTCAACACGATACAGTGTCGCGTAGACACAAAGACCACATTTTTCTCCCATGACCGAGCTGCAGGTGTGCACGGCAACAATACCCGCCTGGGTTTTTTCTCATGGTTGCCTTTGTGAGGAGAAACTGATACTCCTACTTAAACCAAGGTTTTAAATGCTGGTGCGAAAGAGAAATCACTTTCCCCCCATTCCCCCTCTCCCCGCTCTCTACCTTTTTTACCTGTCATTAACTTCTTTACCCCTTCTCTCCATCTTCCCCAGGCTTACCGAGTTTTATCAAGTCCCCCGAGGACCAGGCGGGCATCTCGGGCGGGGTTGCGTCCTTTGTGTGCCAGGCCACCGGGGAGCCCAAGCCCAGAATCACCTGGATGAAGAAAGGGAAGAAAGTCAGCTCCCAGCGATTCGAGGTGGGCGCTCAGACACTCAGACTCTCACATCCGCACCTGTACACGCACACAGCACAGCTGGGCATCAACACGCCGCAGCCTTCAGACTGGCTTTTTTCTAACCTCTCATTAAGACAGATGCACGCAGACACGTTTGCATTCATCGAATCGCCCTGTTATTGAGCATCAAACCGGTTCCTCTCCTCTCCAGCTTAAAACCAGACAAAACTTCCGCTCTCTTTAATCTCACCCCGTCTTGATTCCTGCAGCCCCCCTTCATCTACTCCTGTCGCCTCGCTCAGCCTTTACCTTCTGTTTCTCAGCAGCGCCATCCCGAGCCGTGCTCCCCCTTGATCTCTCACTTGATGTTTTTCCCCCTACCTGCTCTAAACACACGCAAACAGAAGGAAGTGCCCTTAGGTGGGAACTGTCACACTTTCAGAACAGGCATATTTCTGTAATATAAGCCATTCTCACAAATGCATTTTTGCCCCGAGAAACATCTAAGGGGGAGGGGCTACACGTGATAGTTTCTGTTACGTAAACCCAGCGAACTCACACATAAGGAGTTCAAGAAATTTGACTATAGAGATACATCTAGAATGGTAGTTTTGGTATTAAGCTCCTCTTTGCTGTGGATTTTCTCCTTGTCTTTTCTCGTGTGACTTCATTCAGAAAGACTCCCTCCAATTAGAAAGACTGATTTTCACATTATTTAAATACAATATTCTAAATAGTTCAGCGGTCAAATTTAGTGGGGAAAAAAAAACCTACTGACAAAAAAAAGTCAACAGTTTCACATGCAAGTTCAACTGGATTCAGTTTAGATCCTGCAAAATTGTAATACCTTTGGAAATGTAAAAAAAAAAAGAGGCCACTGAAAATAACATTCCTGCCCTTTCCCTTTGCCGTGGTTCTCACAGGTGATTGAATTTGATGAAGGCTCGGGCTCCGTTCTGCGGATTCAGCCGCTGCGCATCCACAGAGACGAAGCCATTTACGAGTGCACAGCCACTAACAGCGCCGGCGAGATCAACACCAGCGCCAAGCTCACAGTCCTGGAAGGTGCGATAAGTTGCTTTTTTTTTTTTTTCCACTCGGTTTCTCACTCTATCTTGCGTTCACTTTTCCTTCTTTCCTCAAACCTTCCCGCCTTCACCTGCTGCCAGTTGTTTCTGAAGCTTTCATTCCATATATCCCAGAGCAAATATCAGTGTTTGCAGTAATAATTCATACATAAACATTTGCTAAGTCTTTGCATTCCGGGGCACCGCATGGAGGAGCAGTTACATCTTAATCTAAACTCCACAAGGTTAAAGAAAAACGCAAGGAATGCGTTTTTAAATAAGTTGGCTTAAAGCTCACCTATTCAGCAAACGCACGACGGGGAATACAGTTATATTTTCAGCAATGTTTAGTCTTTTTGGGGCGATAATGCTTTGTAGGGCTTTATTGAGCCCTTTTTGGATCACGTGTCGTGCAAAAACAAAGTTATAATCCGCAGAAAAGACAAAGGGTTGTGGTTTCTTACTTAAATGTTTAGATACGTGAACTGAATGGATGCTCGTACATCAGTGATTCCCTGCCTGTCTGCTGAGCCCTCATAAAAAATGCTTTATACAGACGTAGAAAGTATATTTTGGCGTTAGAGTTCTCCCCTCATGTCGGGTTGCCCTCCGTGCCTGCAGGCTATTTTGAACTCCACAGACCCTCCTTCCTTTTCTTTGCCGCACATCATTTGGAATAAGTCTTCCACATCACTGAGCAGTGAGCAGGATTTTTTTTTTTTCTAATTGATTGTAATTTTGTCATGTGGTTGCCAGTCACCGCAGGAGTTAATTTCATTAAAAACTTTGAAGTAGACGACCCCAGCGCTAGCCAGAGGGAGGATTAAGGCTGCCCTCATCCATTTCTCTTGTACCGAAGCAGATTTCACCCCCCTTATTCTCTCACAAATGCTCCATCCCTGGTTCAATTTGCATCTTTCTTACACCCACCCCTACGCGTTTCTTCCTCCATCCACGCTGATTTGATGATATCATCTTTTTGGCTTGCGTAACCTTCCCATGGGGGCTTTTTCTTCAGTGCGAAGAAAGGCTTTATATTTACCTCTGCCCTGCACTGAATCATGTAGAAGGCTGCACGAGCAGGCAGCAGCGGTGTGACCCGGAGCGCTTCAGAACGTGATGAGATTAATCACCGTTTGAGCGTCAGAGGGCCCGAAAGGACACCGAGGTTGAATTTCCTCAGCTCCCGAAACCAAGACCGTCAACTGGACCACTCAACAATGAACAACTGTTCTCGTTGGCTGAAGTGTTTTTGGATGAAGCGGACTTATCTGTAATCACGCACCCGCATACCAAACAGACGTGTCATATGATTCTTTAATCTCCGGGACTTTACTCGCACTTAGTTGATGCGTGGAATTTTAGCCTTTGACAGGCTCAAGACCTCAAATCAGGAAAACGTCAGCGGCACCGATTGTGTTTTTTGCTCGTCCTGTTAAGCCTCGTCAGATTCAGCTTCTCAAGCCCGTTTATTTGATATTCCTGGGCTGAGGGAAAGTGTTGAGCTGCGTTCAGCCTATTGTTTTGGACAAACAAACCAAAACAATGTAGGCTTTTAAATTCCTGTGGACAGCTGTTCTCAACTTACTCCTCCTGCATTATCTGCTCAGAGCTAAATGGCACGCAGCCAAAGTAAATGTTGAAGTTGACGTCTTAGTCAAACCTTTGGAAAGGTACGCAGGCAAACACCTCATTTGTCTGAGTCTGGGTCCAACAAGACATAGTCAGATTGCTATTACGTGAGTGATGCTTGTCAGAACAGATAAGAACAACGCTGCCAACAGAGACATGGGGAGAGCTTCTGGGTGTGATGCTGCTTTTGTGTGTTTTGGCCCGTTTTTTAAAAATTCCCTGTAAGTTGAACATTATTAGAATGAACTCAATTCATGAACTGATTACATCATCTGCTAAGTCTCAAGCGCGGCAGGAGCCAGAGCACTTTGCATTTGATGATGACGGCGTTTCAACGGGGTTGAAAGCAGCGACATTTCCATTCTAGGACACATAAAACAAGGAATAAAAAACTCCTCTTCTTTGACAATGTGTGGGTCAGCATTTTTGAAAAATGATTATTACCGTATTATTATTTTTTGGTGTACATGAAATCACAAATGATGAAAAAGTTGTGGCGGGTTAACCTTTTGTTTAGCCTCTCTGCTTTATTCTTTTGTTCTTAATGCACTCAGAGGCTGGCTAAGGACAAAACAACACATCATATTTAATCAAAATAATTCCCTATATCTGCTTGTCAAGAAGCCTGAGGATGAGCTGGGCTTATGCTCAGACAGGCACTGTGTGCATGCACACGAACAGCAGAACACAGAGTCATGCATACTGTATTAACTGTCACAAACACTCTCAGTAGCAGCATGCATACCCTAAGAGAGTGCCAACTCCAGCTCTGGTCTGTTTTTAGACTATTGTTTGTAGCCCGGTGATACATCAAGTTCATATCAGCAGCACTACGTAAGAAAACACTGGGGCAGCACCAAACTGATGGAGACTAATGATCCTGCTCCTTAATGGGCCATTGGTAGCCTGAAGGTTTGATAAGCCTGTATCACATATGAGAGCCACTTTTTCACTTTGTGGACCAAATGATAAAATCTGGAGGAAGGGAGGAAAAAAACCAAAAAAAAAACCTGCTGCTTCTGTAAATGAAAATGAGTCTTTGGGCTATTTCACACTGGTTCCGCTTTTTGGTGAATGCAGATCACCCAATATGAATGTGTTATAAGAAAGGAAAAAAATCGAAAAAGACGCTGAGTATGGCTGAAAAAAACATGTCACGTCTCAGTCAACCTTCACTGGATAAATAAAGGTTGAGAAAAATGACTTCATAAGCAAAAATGTCATTTTCCTTCGTGCATTGTAGAAGAAACCCCCCCCACACACACACACACACTTGAATGCATGCACATGTGACTTTGCATGCACATGAAGTCTCCATAACACATCGAGCGCCCCATCCAGATATGTAGTGAAGTCATTATAGCACTAAGTCGATTTGGATTATAGGTCTTAGCAGAGCGAAGGAAGGCAGAGCATTAATTATGATTATTTCACATACTGGCTCTTTATTATGTTCTGCCAATCCTGCAAAATAAGGATTATGACAGTCATACCAGTAGAGATTTACACGTGCTTTCTGTGTCTGCTGCTGTTTGCAGGAAAGCATTGAGGTTCAGAAGTGCACTATGGAGGCCGGATCACTTGCTTCTAATTTTTCGCTTAATTCGGTTGGTCTGGCTTCTTGTCTAATGCACTGAATCTGTTCAAGGAGCTTATTTGACCTTTTAGCCTTAGTTTTATTCTCCTTTTTAATGCTATGAAAATGTGACTGAAGATCATTACTTTATAGATCGATCCTAAACAACAGAAGTTATTTTAAATCGCACACTTATTTTGCATTTTGCCACAATTTTACGAATGCCAAGTGCTTTTTTTTAAAAAGATCCTTGGTGCTATTCACGCAGCCCGTGGAGTTGCAAAGGCGCGTTTTTTTACATCAGCTAAGTCTAGCTTTAGCACTTTTGTGAGCGCGATTCTTGAGTGGCTCTGTAATTCTGTCACGCCGTTACAGCCCCTGCTCTTTGTTCGGCGCGTTTCTCACGCCCCCTTCCCGAGAGGTCGCACCGCCGAGACTTCCACTGCGCGCCAGAAGACGGCCCCGGCCCATTCCTCACTCCGCACGCACTCTGACGAAAGAGGGGGCCGGAGTCGCCTCCCTTTATCTCTACCACTTTGTCATAAGTCACCTTATTAGGATCCGAAAGCTGCGGCTCCCCCCTTTTATTCATTGTGTTTTAGGACTTGCGTCATGACTCCTCACAGAAGCAGGCCTGTGTCCAGAGCTGTGGGTCCGTCTGACCTGGTTAGGTTATTAATGACCGAAATGTGGCTTCACCAGGTGGGGAAGTCATTTTGTATTGTCTCATTCTACCTTATTCCACTCTAATGTTCTTCTTTTTGTACATAGCCCCTTTGGAGTGTATATCTGGACAGGGCAGGGCCGTTTTGCTGCTGGTAGGACAGTGTAAAGGGATGACCAGAGGGGAGCCATGACTCATTACCGGGGGTAACGATGCCAAGGTGCTGACCTTGAGCGCCCCCCCCCCCCTTTGAATTCTACCGCCTCAGTAAATGTCCAGGTAAATGGCGCTTGTCTCTGTGATCTATGGAGTAAACCGCCGCGCCGCAGAGAAGACATCTCGGCTCACCACATCAGTCTTGAGAGCGGAGCGCTGCCAACGCCCCGTGTCATCGCCATACTTCCCATTTTCAATGCCATTAACAGCGGATGAGCATGTAAAATGTAAAATGCAATGACTCAAATCCAGAAATGACTTAGGAGGTGTCAAAAGCGTGTCCCGGTGCTAATGACGGTGATGAAACCCATACAGACGGGGGGTTGGGGGGACGCTGCAATGGATGTTTTGAAGAGTTTAACCCAAAACCAGCACAGAATTCTGAGCAGACTTTCTCCGGCAAAGACCTTTAAAAGTACATCGTTTTAATTGGCTTCTGTCTGCAACCATGGAGCTGCAAAATTGACAAGTTCTGGGAACAAGGCCTACAGCATTTGAGACTAGAAGTAACACATTTGCTTTCTACAAATGAACACAAAGCATTAAGATTCTTAGTGAAGAGGTTCAGCACAAACATCTAATTGGAGCCCAGACTACTCAAGAGAAAAAAGACCCAAAAAAGCAAGTGTGAGAATACAAATGAGGCCTTTTAAAGACATATTATTTTATACTCACATCCCTTTTCGTTCTACAAGTTCTTTATTTTCCAAGCCAAATAAATAAGTGAGCTGGAAATCTCTCTTGTATTGAAACAAGTTGTAGTCATTTTGTACATATCAAATATCCTATCAAATCCAATAGAAGTGAAAATATTCATGTCGTTCTGCTGCATCTCACCCACAGTAAGTTTCTCTGGGACTGGTTTCAGCAGACTTACTTCAGCTTAAGCAAACATAAAATGTCACCCTGA